TTGCAATTGTCATTGTTGTTTTAGCAGGCCCCAGTGATTTCAAACCCTCCAGCCTCATTGTATGTGGCCGGCGCCCTAACCACTGAGGTAAAGGCACCAAGCCTGAAGTTACTAATTGCTTTAATTAGCCTTATAGTACAATAGGCTTGCTGACTTACTGCCAGAGGACAGTAATCCACTTAGCATACTTGCTGCCGGCCAAAATATCATCTGTGCCAATATGCATAGGTATACCAGGCTATGAACACAGACTATCCCAGAAACCATACATACTGGCCCAAATACACTTTAGAGCAGTCTGTGAAAAGTGTTTTAAGTTCATATATCCAAAACCGTGTCAGACAAGTGAATACCTGCCCCAAACTGGAAAGAAATTAGCCTACAGGCAAGTAAAATTTCAAACGAGAGTTTTGGATAAACCATATATTAATATATCACGATACTTCTTCAAGACCTTGATGATTATAATCTGGGACATTTCTGCTACAATAGTATTAATCTAATTAAAATGTTTGACATAAGTCCTTGAGACATATAACAAGTATTACCATCTTATAGATGTAGAAGGTGGTAATGGTGGTGAGTACATCGAATGTGTTGCCCTTTTAAATATTCCACTAGAGCAGCCAAGAAATAATTGAATTCCAATAAGAAAACGTCCATGGTCTTTTATGCTTTCTCCACATACATACCAATGATTCTCAAACAAAATATATAGCTACTATTTTTTTAAATGGGATAATTTGAAAGGCTTATACAAGAGTACCACCACATAATATACATATTATGACGCTTAATCTATAATTACATTAAAAGTTATATACGTCATAAAATGAATCCTCTAGATCTCAAAGCTTTTCATCTCTTTTACAACCAAAAGCCCCAGATGTGTGCTAAGTGGAGTGAGGCTTAGACAATGTAATAGGCAACTGAGAGAAGACAGAGAAAAAGAGAACCAAGAGCATGATACGCTGAAATTGCAATTTTTTCCCAGGTGGCAGAAGACCAATTTATCATTTAATACATTAGAGGAAAGACAAGAGAAAGAAGCATACACTCCCTTTAGGATACTGACAGCCAAGGCAATGCCAACCTACAGTGACCCCACTTTTAATCAACTACAATATCATGAACGAGATGTGTAAGGCACAGCTCTTAGCAGCCAAGTCTGGAAAGAAGTCAAATAAGTTATTTTTAATTTTATGAAACTGGAAAGAAAAAAGTTCTATTAATACATAACCTTCTTTCACCTCCACCCTTCCTCTATATACAGTTCCTCAGTCCTTATTCCCACTGCTAAGAACTGTGTTAAATCTAATGGATGCTTAAGTGAAATGTCTAGCTGACATTTAATTTATCCATTTAGGTGTTCAGGCATATCTTGCTGGTTATGTTCATGCCCAGATTTTAATGCTTTCAACTTTTGTCATGGAAAGTTGTAATTGCAATACTGTGATTTTAGTTAAGAGAGAACAGATCAAATCCAAAGGTCTTCCAACATAAGCCTTACTAAGTAATTAATACACGGTTCTTTATTTTCCAAGGAGTTTAGAATATACTTGCAAATAACAAAACTGACTTTAACTCAAAACTAATAGAAATTAACTATTAAAATAAAACTGGTTCCCAAAGTTCAAGGTTCATTAGGGCTTTAATTCTCCATTAAAATAAATAAGGAAATAAATGTATTTATATATGCATATAAACACTAAAGATGGGCTTTGTAGGGTAAAAGGAAGTATTTTATAATACCTGAGTAAACTTTTTATAAGGCAGCTTATAATTTATGTCTAGTATCTTCAAGCCCAAGGCTACAAATCAGTTTCCTCCTTTCTAAAATGAAGGGCTCAGATCAGATGAATTTGAATTCTAAAATCATTTTCAATTATCTCAACGCAATTGTCTGGGCCAAGGGCATTTTAGCAAAACCTTTAAGAGCAGCCTTTTAAAGGTTAGGGAAAAGGAAATACCATTCTCTTATGTCTAGGAAAATTGAAGGAGCACATAAAGATTCTTCTCTCTTTCACCAGGCATATATACCTTCATCTATATAGTTTATATTTAGGCTTTCACAAGCTGAAATAAAAGGCAAAAATAAAGTACATGCAGACCTTATGTTTTAATCCCTAAATTGAATGTTTGCTATTCCAAAAGAATTCTGAGTATTTAAACCTGCAGAAAGTGAGGCCAGGGCGGTGGCTCAAGCCTATAATCCTAGCCCTCTGGGAGGCGGATTGCTTGAGACAGCCTGAGCAAGAGTGAGACCCTATCTCTAAAAAAAAAAAAAAAAACCACCAGAGCTGGGCGTTGTGGTGGATGCCTGAGGTCCCAGCTACATGGGAGGCTGAGGCAAGAGGATCACTTGAGCCCAAGAGTTTGAGGTTTCTGTGAGCTATGACACCATAGCACTCTACCAAGGGTAACAAAGTGAGACTCTGTCTCAAAAAATAAACAAATAATTAAAAATAAGCCTGTTAGAACATAGGACATCTTCAGAAAATTTAATGGGTATTTGAACAGGTGTTTGGGTGAGTATGGTAGGACTTTCGCAGCTTTTTACTTTTAACACTTGGGTATCTCTGGGGCCAGTAACTTACGAAAAACATCTTGGGAATTTTTGGCTTCAAATACTACTGGAAAGGATCCCCCCACTCCCACCCATAATACCATGGATCTTATAGCATGAGCTACCTATATGAATTTTAATATTAGGTCCATTTTACTACCTAAAACATTTGAGTACTAAAAGTACATAATTTTATCATTTTATAGTCCCAACTATGATATGGTCATATGGTATGGATCATGAGGCCAGCTCCGTGTGTACTGAAATATACAGGTCACTGAAAACCATTTCTTTCTGGATGAAAACACAGTTTAACAACTACTGCCTTGCAAAGCATACATCCTCAGAGTCACCCAGTTATGTAAAACATACTCCGCTGTACATAGAGCAAAATTTGAAGATGAAAAACACCCTCTGAAACAACTTACAATACAACTATCTTTCAAATTTCTTATGATAAGACATATATCACTGAAGAAAAAGAATTAAAAGACTCACAGAATGATTTCTACTGAGACCTTAGGAATGAAAAGTGTGTTATAATGGTGGAGAATCGATTTGAAAAGAATATTGCCCTGCCCTTCTGATCTCTTGTTTTACAAAACTACAATTCATTTCTAAACAGAGCTTTACCAAGAGAAGACATTAATCTTTGGGATCCTGCAGCAAAGGGTATTTATCTGTCTTTCAAAAGTGATTTTGCCATTACAGTCTATGCTTTATTGAAAAGATTATGAGACAAAATACAATGTTAGACAGAAACAGGGAACAATCAAACCAGATGAAATTCTTTGCTGAATAGCAATCACTGCTCATCAAAGAGCATCTATATCACCACCATTCCAAACTTTAATAGACTAGGTAGTAGGTATGAGAGGGAATGTTAAATAATTTACAAGTATATTTTAGCTTAATACAGTCAACTAACTACATTATATGACTATAAACAATGTATTCTTTTTAGTTTCCCCCCCAAAAGAGGAAGTAAACTAGGTTATGTATGTATGTATAATACATT